GCAAAGGAAGAATGCCAGTGAAACATAGCACTTGTGACAAAGAGGTGTTAAGTGCTGACCCAGTTGCCAGAATGTTTCAATCAATGAATACATTTTTGGTACTGCTGAATACAGAGTAATAAGAGTGGCCTTATGCATTACCAAAATGGGGAGAAATGCATTATGACAAAAAAGGACATAAATTTGCTTAACAAGTCCATCAGCAAATTTGTAAGTGTATTTGCAAATGTAAAAATAATTGCTATCATATCACTGGCAATGTAATACATTTTAGTCTGCTCCTCACGTACTGTTGATAGGTACCTTCAAGCCTTGTGATCTCCCTTCTTATGCTTCTTTAACTGGATTTCTGATAGTATCTTCAAATAGGGAGTTATCACCTGAGGACTCTCTTGTATAAAGTAGGGCATGGCCACGTTCAGTGCAAATGGTATCCTAGGATTGTTGTTTGTCTCCTTCTTACAGTGAGAATGTAAACTAAACATAATAGAAGGCCCCAACTCTAGAAAGCCAAGAAGTTAAAACTAGCAGAGGCTATCTCTTTGCTTCAAGTTCTTTCAGAATTATTTAATTTTTCATTAGTACTGGAGCCTCCGCTTCAGGATCTGTCCCTCAAGTGAGCATTCAGGGTTGACTTCAGGATCTGTCCCTCAAGTGAGCATTCAGGATTTCTGATAGTATCTTCAAATAGGAAGTTATCACCTGAGGACTCTCTTGTATAAAGTAGGGCATGGCCACGTTCAGTGCAAATGGTATCCTAGGATTGTTGTTTGTCTCCTTCTTACAGTGAGAATGTAAACTAAACATAATAGAAGGCCCCAACTCTTATAGAAAGCCAAGAAGTTAAAACTAGCAGTGGCTATCTCTTTGCTTCAGGTTCTTTCAGAATTATTTAATTTTTCATTAATCTAGGTTTTTAAAAACTTTCTATTTGATAGGCCACCCTAAAGGTAATGAAGATTCCAAGGCAGATCTGAAGTGTAGCTCTAGTTTTTAGAGGCCTTAGAAAGAGGTATTCTGGGAACCTGCTACCCTAGTCACTCCATGCCTGTTTTAAAAAACTTCAGATGAGATACAGAATTTCTAAAATCACTCGCTCCCTTCCTGTGATACTGCTGATGTCACCTTTTTCCTTCTCTCTGTTCCTCATAGTTGCCTTGCTTTCTTGTTTTAACTTTGGACAAAGCAACAACAGTGATCTTCCAACTAGCATCACTGGTTTGAAAGGCTTGTGCCACCTGCAAAGCATAGCACCAACCAGCATAGAGCTGCAGCCATATACTATTTTAATACAAAGACTTTCTTTCCAAAAAAAGGGAGTTAAGCTAATCAAATGCTTCCCTTTGAGGGAGAGCAGCCAATGAGAGCCAGGAACAGTTGGAAATAACCCTTATCTCTTCCTGGGTTGCCTTTGGCTATGTGCTGTACAAGGTAGTGTCTGATTGGTTCAGCCATCTGTCACTCTTGTTATGTGAGAAAGTTTTCAAATTAAATGGTACTTTGCTGCAGACCAGCAGTCAGTCTTTCCTTTTCTTTGTTGTCCATATTGGTGTTCTGTCATCCTTCCTGAGAAATCTGGTTGCCTCTAAGGAAGGGAGAGGAGCCATTTTTGCTTCATGGTCTGGACCAGTGGTTCTTAACCTTTGTTACTCGGATGCTTTTGAACTGCAACTCCCAGAAACCCCAGTCAGGACAGCTAGTGGTGAAAGCTTCTGGGAGTTGCAGTCCAAAACTCCTGAGTAACCCAAGGTTAAGAACCAGTGGTCTGGACCATAGTAATACTATTGATTGCTCTCAAAATGCCACTCCTGTTAGGCAGAGACTTGAAAATTTATAGATAGCTTTTCTCAGTATGGATTATGGAAAATTCCATTCAGATAATAGAAAACATAATTTCCAACTTATTTGATATGATATGTTGTGCTCTGCTCTGGATTTCTCAGAACTCTTATTAGTAATTCCAGTTGTTCATTAACCTCTGAACTTGTACTGTCCCTTAGAGAATGAAGGGAACAAATTGATTCAAGGTTACAGTAATGCTTTTTTGTAGAAAGTGAAGTCTCAGAGGTAAAACAAAGGGTGAACAGGCCATTGTTAACAAAGGAGTGTTGCATCTGATTTTGAAATACTATTCACAGTTGGTAAATATCAGTCCAGGAGTGAGGTCTGCAAGTACATGTGAAAAAGAAAGTACATCCTCTTTGAGTTCTATGGTTTTACAGATCAAGACATAATAAAAACCATCTAGTCCTCAGCAAGTCTGAAAATTAAGTACATACAACCTCAGATAAAAATAGTACATGACATATTTCACCATATCATTATTTATTTTACAAGAATAAAACCAAAATGGAGAAGCCATGTGTGAAAAACTAAGTACATGCTTACTGCTTCCATAGGAATTAAGAGGCTAAGTAGCAGCCAGATGCTGCAAACCAAATACAATTTGCTTGTCTAGAGGATTCAGGTGTGTGTTAACACCGTCCCAAGAAGGAAACACATCAGTAGTGATCGTAGAGAAGCAATTGTTGCTGCCCATCAATCCAGGAAGGGTTGTAAGGCCATTTCCAAACAGAGTGGTCTTAACCGACCAGATAGGCGGGATATAAATAAAATAAATAAATAAATAAAAATTTAAAATCCATTATTCTACAGTTAGGAAAATTATTCACTAGTGGAAAACATTCAAGACAGTTGGCAATCTTCCCAGGAGATTTGCCCAAGCAAATTCACCCCAAGGTCAGACCATGCAATGCTCAGAGAAATTGCAAAAACTCCCAAGACTTACATCTCAGGCTCTACAGGTCTCAGTTAGCATGTGAAATGTTAAAGTTCAGGTCCGTACGTACAATTAGAAAAAGACTGAATGAGTGTGGTTAGTTTGGAAGGGTTGTCAGGAGAACATCTCTTCTCTCTAAAAAGATCAAGGCAGCCCAGCCTAGGTTTGCAAAGTTGCATCTGGACAAACCACAAGATTTCTGGAACAATGTCCTCTGGACAGACAAGACAAAAGTGGAGACATTTGGCCATAATATATAGTGTCACATTTGGTGAAAACCAAAGACAGCATATCTTCACAAACACCCCATACCAGCTATCAAGCACAGTGGTGGAGAGGTGATGATTTGTGCTTGTTTTGCAGCCACAGGACCTGGGCACCTTGCAGTCATTGAGTCAACCATGAACTCTTCTGTATACCAAAATATTATAGAGTCAAATGTGTAGCCATCTGTCTGACAACTAAAGCTTGGTCAAAATTGGGTCATGGAACAAGACAGCAATCCTGAACACACCAGCAAATGTATAACATAATGGCTGAAAAAAGAAAAGAATGTGTTACAATCACCCAGTCGAAGTCTAGGCCTCAACCCAATTGATATGTTGTGGTGGGACCTTAAGAGAGCTGTGGATAAACAAATGCCTACAAACGTCAATGAACTGAAGCAAAGTTGTAAAGAAGAGTGGGCCAAAATTCCTCCAGAACAATGTGAGAGACTGGTAAGGTCAAACAGAAAATGATTACTTCAAGTTATTGCTGCTACAGGCTATTGAATCATAAAGTGTGCTTAGTTTTTCCATACATGGCTTCTCCAGTTTGGCTTTATTTTTGTAACCTAAATAATGACAAGATGTCATATGTTGTACATCTGAGATTGTACTTACCTAATTTTCAGGCCTGCTAAGTATGTGAGAGACTGGTAAGGTCAAACAGAACATGATTACTTCAAGTTATTGCTGCTACAGGCTATTGAATCATAAAGTGTGCTTAGTTTTTCCATACATGGCTTCTCCAGTTTGGCTTTATTTTTGTAACCTAAATAATGACAAGATGTCATATGTTGTACATCTGAGATTGTACTTACCTAATTTTCAGGCCTGCTAAGGATCAGATAATTTTTATTATGTCGTGATACGTCGAAGAACAGAATTCAAAGAGGGTGTACTTTATTTTTCATATGACTGTATAACTTTAATAAGAGTTCAGCAACAGGAGATGGGAATCTGAGGGCCATACGTGAGTTTCTGCTCCTTCAACAAGCCCTTTCCAGCACACAAACTCTCAGCAGCCTCTTGTATACTCCAGAAACTGGTTCTGAAGGTGGAAGGATCCTCCAGAGTACAATTCAGTGTCGCTCAAAGGACTGCATCAGGAGGGAAAACGTGGTCCTCTTCCTTCTCTGATCAACAGCATAGAAGTCACTGTTATATGTGTCATGTTAATATTGTTGAATGAGTACAGGGGCATGATAAAAGAAACTAATTCATTTTTGTAGGTGAGAGATTGATTTATTGTGTTGGTCTTTGATGTACGGAACCTTTCATTATGATGAAAGTGTTGAACAATAAGACTTCTTTGAGTCTTTGGTGAAATATGAAAGCATATCTTTTTGTAGTTTTGATATGGTAGATGTGTAATGGACATGTTAAAAGAGTTAAAATAGCCCCTATTTTTTGTTTGCTTGAAAATTAGATATAATTCTATATTATTGTTGTATATTATTTATACCTATGCTTCAGAAGAGATGCTCAATTTAATCGGAACTAGTCTTTGGTCTACTATTACTGCTTTATTTGTCATTTTGTTTGTGACTTTATTGATTAATGTACTAAGGAGCGGTTTTTAATGCTTTTTGTTTCTTTGTTTTAAACTATGTTAGATTCTGCTCTATGTGGGTTTTACTTTGAAAAGTCTACTAGAAATGCATTGGTAGCAACAATAAATGATCTGTTGCGAAGTGCTGAAATTGTCCATAGTAGTTGTTTAAGTTGTTTTTCTACTAAAGATATATTCTAGATGAACATACCTATTTTACAGTGTTGAGGATACACTTTGCCCAAACTAGCCGCTGTCAGCCAGAGAGAGGACTTAATACATTGTTTGCACAGCTGTTAGTAGTTCCGTGTTAGGACACATACTGCTAATACAATCATATAATACATGGCATTTTCTGTAACTGTGTCATTTAACTTTAACTCTCTCATATTTCCCCCCCTTGTAGGTATATAAGAATCGTTGGAACACACAACACAGTAAATAAAGTATTCCATATCGTAGCTTTTGAATGTATGTTCACCAACAAGACCTTTACTCTTGAGAAAGGCCTAATAGGTAAGTGACATAACAGAGTAAATCAAGAAGTCAAGTAATTGTTCATGGTAATAGAGCACTGTGTAGTGTATTTATGCAATAAAGCAACTTTGTATGTCAGGTGAAGTAAAGTACCTCTGTTCAAGTATTAATGCTTGGGGATGCTTAGTACTCTTACAAGAGTGCACTGTCTGTACTTCTCTTTCTCTGGTTTCATTATCTTGAACATGTTCAGGGCAACAAGCCTGAATAAGTAATCCTCTTTCCTTTTATTTGTTTGGTTCTCTATGTGAACTGGAAGCCTAGGAAACATGAATAGAAATAATGTGAATCACTTCTGCCATTTAATAGCAAATCCTATTATACAAACTGATTTCATGTAGTCTTGGTTGGTTTCTGTAGTTCTGTAGCCTTTAGACCTCTATTTCCTAATCGAGGTTTGTTCCCCTATATTGGGTTTAAAGAAATTCCAAGAGCAATATGAAACCATGTGATTTTTATAAAAGTAAATATTTTTATAACCTGAAACAAATTTCTGTGAGTGATATCATTACTAGAATTTAGAATTTGTCCAAAAAAGTTGTGCTTGGGGTTTTTTTTTAATAGTTTAGTTTTCTTTCACTAAATTTCACTAAATTAAATTGTAAACCGCCTGGAGAGTGCTTGTAGTGCTATGGGGCGGTATCTAAGTCCAATAAATAAATAAATAAATAAATAAATAAAAGGAAGTTGAATGAAGGAGAGGAGGTAGAGCATGAGTATTTCTTAGAAGTCAAAAAGGGGGAAGAGTGCTAAAGACTTCAACAATCACTGCTTTAAGGCAGATATGAAGGTACAGTGGTGCCTCACACAACGATGTTAATTGGTTCCAAAAAAATCAACGTTGTGTGAAACATCATTCTGTTAAACACCATTTCCCATAGGAATGCATTGAAAACCGGTTAATCCGTTCCAATTGGAACACATTGCCATCGCTGAGTGAAAATCCCTATAGGAAACATCGCTGTGTGAAACAATGTTTCCTTCATTGGAATGTATTGAAGCCGACTCAATACATTTCAATGGCTTTGCGAAGTCCTTTTTCGCTCCTGTAAAAGTGTCTTACAATGTTTGGAAGCTGTTTTAAATGATTGCAATGGTTAGCCCACCTTCTGAAACCTAAGCAAACTGATTTTGGTGTTGTTCTGACACTTCGTTAGTGTCTTACAATGTTTGGAAGCCGTTTTAAATGCTTGCAATGGTTAGCCCACCTCCTGAAACCTATGCAAACTGATTTCGGTGTTGTTCTGACACTTCGTTAATTTATGATGATTTTTTGTTTTCTCCATTGGAAACCATTAGACAGACCATCCAATGGTTTCCATTGGAGAAAATTCAAAAAATCATCATAAATTAACGAAGTGTCAGAACAACACCAAAATCAGTTTGCATAGGTTTCAGGAGGTGGGCTAAGCATTGCAAGCATTTAAAACGGCTTCCAAACATTGTAAGACACTTTTACAGGAGCGAAAAGGGAGATCGTTGTGTGAAAATCCCCCATAGGAAACATCGCTGTGTGAGGCGGCAAATTTAACAGAAAAAGGCATCGTTGTGTGAATTCATCGTTGTGTGAGGCACCCGTTGTGCGAGGCACCACTGTAATGTGTTAGTACTGAAATGATCTCAGGACCCAAGCTGTATCTTTTCACCTGTACTGCACCATGTGTTCATCTAGATCAGATAACTTCCTCTGGTAGTGGTGGCTCTTATAAGAGTAATAATGGACCCTCTGGGCTACCTTGTGAAGGTTAGTAGTCATGTTGTACTAGCTTTACTCCTTATTGTAAATAATTACATGCTGATATACTATATTATAGATTGAGAGTCTGAAATAAACCAGTTTCATTTTTGGATCTTTTATTTCTTACAAACCTATCATTATTTTCTATGTTGATTGTTGACTTAAAAAGAGGAATTGCATTCACTTTACAATAACTCTTCCCAGTGTTGGTAGAAAATCCTATATTGCAAGCTTCACAGCTTAAGGTTATAAAGTCTTAAATGTCTCTTTTTATAGCAAACATTAAATGGTATGTTACCCCTTCAAAAGCAATGTTGGATTTTCCTAAAGAATCACAGTAAATTAAAAGCATGTCATTATCTTTTTTTAAAAATAGCAGATAAATGTTACATAGTCATGTATAAAATTCATTTGAATTCTGCCTTCACAGTGATCAGAAAAACCTGATTTTACTTATTTTTTATTCTGGTTGTAAATATTGTATTTCTAAATATTCTTCCAACATTCCCTGAGCTTTAACAATCTATTAGCATTTCTAGAACTGAATTTTGCTTATTTAATACAAGAGGCCAGTGGATTTAATTTTCATTGAAATCTGTGCAACAGGACTCCCAAGTAGCCCTTTCTCCTGATGCTATATCTGTGTTTGTGGGAGCTCCACTCATGGAAAATACGTCTTGCTGACTTGGAGTGATGTCTTTCTCAGTTTCAGCTCCATGTGCTAAAGCTTGCTCCATTTAGCAGAGTCCTTAACTCAAGATTGTGTTGGGAATGAGCGAGTGGGGAAATTCTGCCAGCCATGTAGCATTCACAGTAGTCATTCAGGAATCCTGGATGGGGCAGATTATATCTTCTCAATCCAGTTTTGAAATGGAGAAAAATTCCTTTGCCTTGGTGGGTAGTCTGTGCCAAGCACGAGACAGTGGGAGTGCATCCCTGTTGATTCTACTGGACCTTAATTCAAAAAAAGACAGAAATCCTTCTCTTCACCCAAAAGGTTTTGCAACTTGGGCGTCTTCCTGGATTGAGACCTGAGCTTGGGTATATGGGTTTTGGTGGTGAATAGAACACATCGTCACAATTAAAGTTGATGCAACAACTGTCCCTGTTCTTGGAAAATCCTTATCTGGCCACTGTAAGGAATGCCTTAGTTACATCTGATTTTGATTGCTGTAATTAAGGCTGCATACTTGTAGGTCTGCTTTTGAGAAGTACTTGGAAGCTTTTCTTGTGTCCTAAATGGTATAGTCAAACTCCTGACAACCTAGTTACAGGCAGCATTTACCTCCCCTGTTATGATATCTGCCAGCTGTACGAACAACAGATGTTTTGTTTGTGTTGTGGCAGCTGTCTTGGCGGAGAGGGTGAAGAACAAAGAAGTATGAGGAAAAACATCACAATTCTGTGGGAGGAATGAATGTAAGGAGAGAATGTAGTTTTTTGTGGTACTTCTTGAAAATATATGGAAAAGTTGAATAGATTTCCAAACCTGTGTTGATACTTCTCATTGCTGGCACCATTGTAAATTGCAATACGTATAGTATGAAGAAGCAAAGCTGCAAGAACAATATCCTAAACCAGGGGTCCCCAGTGCTGGTCCATGGCCTTGGTAGGACTAGGCCGCAGAGACAGATCTCCCTCACCCCCACGTACACACGGAGACAACCCATGGGTGCCCGCCCCCTGAAAGGGGTTTGGGCTTGGGAAAGCAAGAAAAAGTGAAGAATGAGTTACAAGCAAGCACAGTTGGTCACATTGCACATCATCATTCCTAATCATGGTGAACCTTGTGGCATAGTACCGTATTTTTCCGTTTACAAGACAACCCAAAGTATAAGACAACTCCCCCTTTTCTAACCCCCAAATTAGAAAATTTGCACACTCGTGCCCCTTTGATCCTCCCGCCCTTTCCCGGCTGCGTTTTCTGCTTCCTAAGCCCTGCGGAGCTTAGAAAATGGGTAATGCAACCATGAAAGGGTAGTGCACTTGCACCCCTTTGATCCTGAGGCCCTTTCATGGCTGCTTCAGGATCAAAGGGGTGCGAGTGTGTTGCCTTTCCATGGCTGCTTTACTCTTTGGCTTTGCAAAAGGTAGAGAAAATGGCTGCCTACTGTGTATAAAATGACCCTCAATTTTTGGTCTAATTTTTAAAGTAAAACTCGTTTTATACATGGAAAAATACGGTAGTTAAACTGTAGGACTGCAATGAAGACTCTGCACATGACCTTGATCCAGCTCAGGGTTGAGTCAACCTTCCAACTTTCCATCCTTCCCCTCACCAGGAAGTACCCAGCTTGCTGGTGAGGGGACAATGTGTAGCCTGCATAATTAAACTGTAAACTGCCCAGAGAGAGCTTTAAGCATGATGGAGTGCTATATAAGCAGTACACTTTTTAATTAGGGAATACATCTGTTAAAGCAGTGGCCCAACCTTCCAGTTTCCTGGTTTTGTGTGGCTTGAGTAGGTATTAGAGAGTGTTAACTATGTGCGTAACTTGGCAGGGTCTTTTTAAGTCACTGAATTTTCCTGGTTTTTGACAAGATCATGGCTGAAATCCTATTGCTTAATGTAGCAAGTTGCACTGGAGAACACCCATGAATCAATGGGGATGTGGCGAGTCAGCTCTTCCATATGTTCTTTTGATTGAAATCGGGCCACTCTTCAATGGGCCTACTGTAGTCTGAGTTTTTATGCTACGTAACCAGATTTAAGCCAGTTTATCATTACAGTGTTGGCAATCACAATATCTCCAATGTATCCTGAAGTTGCTTTCTTGCACGTTAATCCACATGATGTTGGTCATGGTGAATACTGAGATAATGGTATCATGCTTCTATTATTTTCTTTTAGATTTGACACTTCAGTAAACAATACATGAAAGTAACAATGTTTGCTGATTAGAACACACCAGACAACTAAAATAACTGAAAGCCTAAACTCAGCAAAACTGAGATTTCTGGATGAATAATATATACTAAAAACTCCAGGTGCCAGAAAGATGAAATTATCATTGTGAAACACTTCAGAAATATGTCTGATCTGTCGATAGGGCTTACTTCTGAGTAACCAGAACTTGAGTTTGTAGCACCTGCTCTAATGAGAGCTTGCAAAAATAAGGCAAAGTGTTGGTGCACAGATAGTGAGCTGCAAGCAAGCATAGGATTATACTTTATAGCATCTGATGTTCCTTCCACATTTCTTTCCAGTGATAGAATCTGCAGTCCAGTTCACAAAATTCTG